AAAAATATGTCAAGACGTGGCTCCTTTACATAAGGAGCTTTAAATCTAGTTAAGAAATAATACTAAAAGAAGTGAAATAATTAGAAAACAATACACATTTAGACTACAAGCATACAATTATGAAATTTTGAGTTATAATTACATTTTGAGGAAAGAGGAATATAAGTAGGTATTTCAACTTCTAAAAGGAGTGGAGGGCCGGCCCCGTGGCGTAGCGGTTCAGTGCGTGTGCTCTGCTGCTGGCGGCCTGGGTTCGGATCCCGGGCGCGCACCGAGGCACCGCTAGTCAGGCCGTGCTGTGGCGGCGTCCCACATACAGTGGAGGAAGACTGGCATGGATGTTAGCTCAGGGCCAGTCTTCCTCAACAAAAAAGAGAAGGATTGGCATGGATGTTAGCTCAGGGCTGATCTTTGTCAAAAAAAAAAAGGAGTTGATATCTTTTTAAAAAAATTTTATTGAGGTCACATAGGTTTAGAACATTATGTAAATTTCAGGTTTACATCGTTGAATTTCAGCTTCTGGCCAGACCACATCATGTTCACCAGTAAAGTCTAGTTTCTGTCGGTCACCGTACATATGTGCCCCTTTACCCCTTTCATCCTCCCTCCGCCTCCTGCCCCTCTGGTAACTACCAATCTGTCCAAGGAGTTGATACTTCATCTTGGTCTTCAGCAATGGGAGGAATTTGGATAGATGAAGGGAGGAAGGGGATGATATTCTTGGAGAGAACAAGTGAATTAAGGTAGAGAACAAGGATGATCTTTGGGGCCTGAGAATAATGGTAATTGTCATTGGGCGGGTAAGATGGGCCAGGCCATAGATAATTTTGAAACCCGGGCAGAAAAGTTTGGACCAGAGGAGGCTAGAATCCGTGAATCACTGTGTGTGAGTGTGTGTGTGTACGATTTATAAAGTCAGGAAAATGTCTTTCTAGCCTTCTTAAGTGGATTAAATGGAATAAAGAGTAAAAAGCACTTATCCCAGTTCCTGGCACATAATTAGCTGTCACTAAATGGTAGCTATTATTATTACTGCGAATCATAATAATAGCAGAGAAAGTTTTGCCTTGCATTTTTAATCTGGATAGATAGACTCATTCTGGGTTATTTATATTTGGTCTATCTAATTTGTCTTTATAAAGTTGAATACAGTGTAACCAATAACAGTACTGATTAAGACAAACACTCGTGATGAAAAAATGAGCAGACCCCACATATACTCCAGCAAAGAAAACATGCTGTAGTGATGGCATACCCATAGACAGAGCTCAAAAATAATCACATGATAAAGTTTTTAAAATACCAGCTACCTATATTTCGTTAAAATGTGCTATTTACCACTGCGGAAAACAGTGTGGTGTTTCCTCAAAAAATTAAAAATAGAATTACCATATGATCCAGCAATTCCACTTCTGGGTATATAGCCAAAAGAAGTGAAAGCAGAGTCTCAAAGAAATAATTTGTACACCCGTGTTCATAGCAGCATTGTTATTCACAATAGCTAAAACATGGAAGCAACCCAAGTGTCCATCGATGGATGAATGGATAAGCAAAATGGTATATACACACAATGGACTACTATTCAGCCTTAAAAAGGAAGGAAATTCTGACATATGCTACAACATGGATGAAACTTGAGGACATTACACTAAGTGAAATAAGCCAGTCACAAAAAGACAAATACTGTATGATTCTACTTATCAGAGACACTTATAATAGCCAAAATCATTGGGACAGAAAGTAGAACAGTGGTTGCAATGGGGAGAGGGCAATGGGCAGTTATTGTTTAATGGGTACAGAGTTTCAGTTTTACAGGATGAAAAGAGTTATGGAGATGGATAGTAGTGATGGTTGCACAACATTATGAATGTATTTAATATCACTGAACTGTACACTTAAAAATAAAGATAGTAAATTTTATGTTATGTGCATTTTACCACAAGAAAAAAAACTGAAAAAAAAAGTGTTATTTGCAACTCTACAGAATCCAGTTATAGCTTTTTGATTCCCTATGGAGAATATTTCACTAAAATTCAGCTGGTATAAAAACAGGCGTTTCCCAGAGGGATAAACAGAGAAGGCATAATAACCTCTGCAAGATCCTCCATAAACTTCAAAGGATATGAGAATGCCTGTAAGGTTTTTTGTTTTGTTTCTTGGGGATTTTTTTTTTGGTGATGATAGAGGAGGCAGAGTATAAACAAACTGTAATTCAAAAAGTTTTTAGTAGTTTAAAATTTAAAAAATATACATCTAATTACAGTTTACTGATTTCTTTAGTACAATATATTTTATATTAACTATTATCTAAGCTGTTTACCAGAGTTAATTCAATTTATAATTGAATATTATGCTAGATGAAGAAACAGGCCAAGGTTCTAAATAAGCTAGAGGTGGATGGGGAAGTCTGAACACCAGAGCTTCTGTAGGGGAAGGACTAAAAAATTGAGGAGGGAAAAAAATAGCAAGGGAAGGGGAGAAAAAAGTGATGCACATCTTTTGAAGATTTTAAAGCCAAGAATTTGAATTCAAAAAAATTAGTCAGAAACCATTTAAATTCATGTACGCAGTTTGCATTGTAGCTCATGTCCACCAATGTAGAAAACGTTTTCTTTATAACACCCTGGGCCTGCTCCATCTAATTAACAGAAAGAAAGGTCATCTACACACAAAAAGGCACTACTTCTGGTGCTAAATAGCTAGATTAATCTTTTAACAAAGTCTTAAATATGTCTAATTCCCTTTGCCCTTACACCTTGGAATTAATCAGACTTTCAACCCTGTTCTCTCTCCTCGCCATCTCTCTTCACCTTTCCCCTTGGTGTGCCTGCAGTTCCACACATTCCACGCTGCCCTCCACACCCCTTGCGCAATCACCCATCTTAAGTGGGGCTTTGTGGACACAACCGCTCTTTTCCTAGCTGTGGTCTTTGCAGCCTGCTGCCAAAAGTTCCTTTGCCTCCTGAGGCCCTTTATGCAACTTATGACACACACTGAGATTGTAACAATAGGATTAACTTTGAGTGCAAGTGCACTGTGTATTTTGGGTGCAGGTCACTGTTTGCTGTTCTGGTTGGCAGTGTACACAATGAATTAAGCAATGCTCCTTTAGGCATTTTAGTTTAGGGTGTGGATATTATGTGACACAGTTGTCAACTCTGGTTTTTCTTGAAAGCAAGTAGCTGAAAACTGGTTTCACTCAGTTAGTTTTGGTTTGTTTGGACCAACAATTTGCTCAAGCAGAAGGAGCCTGCCTTCGACACTGAGGCAACCTCAACAAAGAGGTTGGGTTGGGTCTCTGCAAGCTTTCCATCCCTGCCATAAAATGAAACCAGTTACAATATTTTCTACATCATGGCGTCTCTTGGCATCTGCTCTCCCGAGCTTGCTCCAACTGCTCCCTTCATGGCATCAGGTAAAGTCCATGGCGCCCAGGAACTGGGAGCCAGGTGTAGTTTCCATCTTACTGGAGCAGGGCAGATGCTGAGAGTGAGGACCTGGGTCATGGCTACACAACTTTGCAGAGTAGCCATGACATGCTCTGGGAAACAAAAATAATTGCTGAACACTGAAGTATATGTAAAAGCACTTTTTCTTCTTTGACTTAAGAATACAGGGCCGGCCCTGTGGCTTAGCTGTTAAGTGCACGCGCTTCGCTGCTAGCGGCCCAGCTTCGGATCCCGGGCACGCACCGCTTCTCCGGCCATGCTGAGGCCGCGTCCCACATACAGCAACTAGAAGGATGTGCAGCTATGACATAAAACTATCTACTGGGGCTTTGGGGGGAAAAAAATAAATAAATAAAATCTTTAAAAAAAAAAAAAAGAATACAGTATTATTGTGAATCTTAGAAGAATGGAGCAATGGTGCTGATTCAGTCTTCTGAATGTTGGCCTTGAACCTGAACGTGCTTTAACATTGAGCTAAGGGCTTAACCAGCGAGTGGACTCATCTAACTCTGTTTATTACTATGTCCTCCACTCTGGCTTGGTCCCAGAGATTTCCGATGGCTCCAGCAGCTTCGGAGTCAGTATCGCTGATGTGTTTGCATCCGACCTCTGACCTGAACTGCAGTGTTATTTTCAGCTGTTCTTTGACAGGGACTCCAACAGCTGCTGTGTAATACCACAGACAACTTGTGACACAGGTTGAGTTTCTAGCAATAGGATTAATCTGCAGATCTTTGGCTCTGATTTGAAGCTGTCTATAATTTTCCTTCACAGGGAGTGGGGGCTAGGGGGGAGAATAAAAACCAAACCCGAAGTGCAATGTTACCCTTTTTTGTAAATTGTAGCAAAATATACATAGTGTTAACCTTTAATTAAACAAAAAACTTTTTCTTGTTGCAATTAAATGGTAACTGCAAAGTGTGTTACTTCCTAGTAGTTTGAATTTGAAAATGCTGTTCAGTGAAGTACAGTAGTTACAAGGAAATCCTGAAACGATAGATGTCTATTGATAAATACTGCTTGAAATATTTTTTAAATGTTCGTAAGAAATCTGAGGCTTTGAGAAAATGTGACCATTCTGTATAAACTTCCTTTGACAAAAGGCAGTGAGTTTTAGAAGAGCAGATTAATCTAAAAATGTATTTCAAACAGTTTTGTGGCTTAATCCCAAAACAAATACCAGAACTTATTTTTAAGGTACACTTTTGGGAGTTTTCTTTGCATGAGGGAGACTTCAAAAATCTTGAAAAGATTGATATCCAGGTCAATGACTGGCTAGTTTCAAAGTCCACCATAACTGTATAGTTTCAATGGCAAAACTAATTTGGGTTGTCAGGATGTGATTTTTTTTCCATTTGCTATCAAACATCAGCTGATAGGCAGAGAGCTAGAAGCTGCCCTCCGCATTTAAGATAATGGCAGAAATAACCGGCACTTAGTGTTACCATACTAGGGGTGTGGCGATTCTCTCCCGTTCTCTCCTCTCTCTCTCATGATAAACTCAATGGGGTTGTCTATTTTTAACCTCCTGTTCTTTCCTTTTGGCAGAGCAATCAGTGTGAGCTGAGCTCTTTCCCTGAATGAATCCAAGTAACCCCGGTGGTTGCCTTCTGAAATGACCAGCAGACACACATCTGTACAGAGGCTGCCCAAAGTATAAACTCTGGTTCTAAAGTACCATGTCCAGCCAAGGAAGTCCTGATGTGGAGTTTTCTACGACAACAGTCAGTTCTGTAGCTGTGCAGGCTGGGGACTCCAAAATCGTTATCGCTGTCATAAAGGTAAGCTAACAACTTTCTTTGTTCTATGAAAAAAGACTGTGAGCTTCTTGCTGTATGTTGGTAATCCTAAAGAACGTTCCACACCATCAGCAGTACGCAGCATGTAGACTATATAACACAGCAAGAACATCTTATTGCTTTCTTAAATTGACAACTAAGAGAAACCTCTACGAAGTTTCAGCCAGTTACTAGAGTTTCTCTTTCAGTCAGAAAACATCTACAGCAGCTTGATTTAAAAAAAAAAACAAAACTCAACCGTATACTTTCAATTTGGTTTTTAAAGAGGAGGCATTCGTGATTATAACTTCGTGATTGCCAGGCTGATGAGTCAAGTGGAGCTGTGAAATGTTTGTGATTTTTGAGAGTGGTTCTGATAGAGGAAGGAAGAGGAAGCAGCAGATAGGGGTGGCATTATTTTGAGCATGATGGAGCACAGGGAACACCTAATAAGAGGCTCTGACACGTGTCCTCCGCAGCACTAATTTTGACATGGTAAAGGCACTAGTAAATCCTTGTGACATTGTTGGGGGAATGAGGACCCTGCCAGGGAAGGTGAAAAGGGCATGTGTCAAATTTGCTAACAGCAGGCAGTTGAAGCCACTTGGGGCTTAAGGTTATTGCATGTTTTATGTTAAGCAATTTGCCCATTTGCAAAGATGACAACACATCTTTAGGTTGAAGAAGACAGCCATGATTTTATTTCCTAGAAAATGCCCTGCAAAAACCCCTGAAGAATTATGCTTGGATTTAGACAATTCACCACCTAAAGAATTCAGTATTTAACGAAGGGAATTTGGCAAACAAGCTTGCGTTCACCAGCCAGTTACTTTCAGGACCCCACCAGGCTTAATTGAATGACTTTTCTGGCTTTTTGTTAGAGCGTGGACAACAAGGCCTGTTTAATTTCACTTAATTGCTGAGAATTTTATGTTAATGTGAAAATTGTAACAGGAAAGTAGCGCCTGACATTGAGCAAAATGATTCACTCTAGAATCACAGAATGCAAAGTGTTTCTACCGAGGGCGATTTCCTAGTGCTGTGGAGACTTGGCCCCACATAAACGGGAACTCGGTCACTCCCTTGTCCTCTAGTCTTTTCAAAGGCGATGAGTGGACATGGAAAGAAGCCTGAAGCATGAGTAGCGGAAGCTGATAATTTGCATGTGGTTTCATGATGCTTGAGTAACTGCAAATTTCAGCAGTGAGGGAAAAGAGGAAAACTCACTGTTTTAAAAAAAGTTAACTTTTCTTTCCCTCCAATTTGAAACATTTCTTTGGGGAGGCAGGATGAGGAAGAATGTGTACGGAGTCAATTATAGGAGAATCAGAGGGTAGATTGACAGTAAGAAGAAAAACCTCTAAAATTACAGTGAAAACTCTTATTTGAACTGAACTGTGTTTCTAAGCATGTTCGCTCGGTCTCCCCTTCCCAGCTCTCTTACCTCACCGCCACCCCATATAAAATAAACCCCAAGCTATTCAAAGTGGAAAATCCGTCTTAAAGGAATAGAAGTGCCTGTGTCTGATCTGTGTGGGCTTCTTGTTTCCAAATGGTCTCAGGGCACTAATAATCCAGAATAGACACGTGTGTTTCTCATTTTTCGTCGGCAATTCACTCATCCACGTTCACGTGCCTGTTAGTAGTTCCTCTTGCTTAATCAGTTGTCGCTTCTTAGAAAAGCAATCCTTGGGAACAGCAATGATGAATTGTATCTTGGAGCAGTGAACGAGTCCTGAGTGTGGGAAACAAGTTGGCTGCATTCAAATGGCAGTTCTCACACACGTCTAATCTTGTTGACATTTTCCTGCATACTTTATTGAATACTCAACAACAGAAGTTGGAAAATGTTGTTTTAACTTTGAAATAAGATAAAAATCAATTGCTTCATCTACTGTTTATTCTTTCTGGTTGAACCACTAAGGTCAATGTAAAGACACTAATCAGCCTAAATTGCATTTACAGAACCTTTCCCCTATGGTGAAGTTTGCATCCTATTTGCCTAAGTGAAATTTCACTATATTTATGGAATTCGGTTTTGTGAGTGAAAGAATGTACAATTATGTGAATTATTTTGTAATTTTGTAATATTCAATAATACATAATCTATTGTACGTGGTCCTCATTTGGAAATTTTTAATTTAAATCCATTTGCCAAGAAAAAAGAATTTATCATAAGAATAAAAAAAGAAAAGGCAGGGCATGGATTTGTATTAGACTTGTTATATTTCAATTTAAGTAAGGGCCATCTCTGTGGAAAGAATAGTGTTCATGGTATAAATGGAAACTAAAAATGAAAAAAAAAAGAAAGAAAGAAAAAGGAGAAGGGTGAAGGGGAAGGAAGAAGAGGAACTAAAAGTGCATTTTATTTCATTTTTATTTTTAGTGTGGCAAATGGGTACAGCTTCAATTGGCTGAATCACAGCCTAATCTTCTAGAAATCGGTAGCAGTCAAGATGAAACCAAAAAACTTCTTCACGATCATGAACTTCTTTTGGCCAAGCTCAAGGTAAGGCATTAAGATGTGAAGCAGATACAAAATTAAAAAGAAATAAAAAGCTATTTCTTGCACTTCCTCTTGATTCCCCTGATGTCACTGGCCTATGGCTATTTTAACATAGTGCCAGATAGATAATGGAAAGATGCTATAGTTATTTATGAGCAAACACCAGCACTGGAGAGAAGTAACAAGATTTTTTGAAACCTTCCCTAACGTGATAGAAAATATGGCGTGATAATATTTTTACTGTGGAGAAAAAAGTAGGTTTCCTTTTTCCTGGCTGCCTCAGTAAAGAAAGAAAAAAAAAATCCATCATTTTTCCATTTCATGCATTATACTGTCAAGTCACAACAACAGATCTAAACTTTCTATTGTTAATGATACCTGCTGGCAAGAATAATATACAGGCTTTTTTTCCCTGTGTTAAACCATTGAAAATATCTGATTTTGTGTTTAATATTAAGAGTTCTTGAAACCAAATAATACTTTCAGTAAAATCAGAGTTATTAGTCCAATATGTTGTGGTTATTTAGTTAAGAATCTAAAAGTAATGTTGGCTTGAGATTGCCAGATAAGGTATCTAGTCAGGGCCAGCTACATAATTTGTGAGGCCCAGTGCAAAATGAAAATGTGGGGTCCCCTGTTCAAAAAGCAAGAAAAAGCTTTTTCTTGACCTGTCATGGTGTTTTTGTCTGCTATTTAATGTCTAGCTTTATCAGTCATGGGGATATGTGTGGGGTGAATGCAGACCCTCCCATGTGCTGGGCCCCAGCCACCGCTCAGTACACAGGGTGTGGACCTGACCCCAACCTTTCCCAAGCTGTGCCCTGACCCCTGCCAGTGCAGATGACAAAGATCACTGAGCAGGGCTGGAGAGTAGACAGGACAGCAAAGAGACTCTATCACTGGGAGGCAGGACCACTTCCGAGATGAGGCTCCAGTCCCCCAGCAATTACTCTGTTGTTCTGTTGGACTTCACCTACAAAACAGAAATTCAAAGGTAAAATTATTAAGAATTTTAAGACCATGACAGATAGAGCATTCAACCCAAGTGGTGTCACCTTTTGAGAATGAAGCCCTGTGATGCATCCAGCCTTGTGAGTAATAGCCAATCCTGTGTGTAATAACCTTTGTAGGCAAATGAGTATCTTTACTCAGATCAAAGAGGCTTGATTCAGAGGCCTGCAATGACTAGATATTCTGTGTTTTTAGTAGTTTAATATTACTGGTTTCTTTGAACTCTAGGCTGGAATTTACACTTGCTTCCTGGATTTAGAGGCAGATCTAATCTGCATCTGATATATACCGACGGTGGTTTTCTGATTGGACAGTAGTAAAAGTAACTGACTGAGAAGTTAAAGAAAGAATTAGTGCTGAAGCTGGGTGCCATTAGAATCCAGAATTTATTCTCCTGTTTAGACAGCTCCTTGCTCTGGGCTCTGGGCTGTCTTTCAAGAAATCCCCGGCCACCAGGAAGTCCTTTGTATATTTAAAAAAACACATTATGATGTGAAAGAGCATTGAACCAGGAGTTAAAAGACCTATATTTTAGCATTAATTATGCCACTGACTAGTGTAATTCAGCTAACAGCTCAAGGTCCGGCTGCTACACAAAAAACTCAATTCCATGAATTGTAGAAACCCAACACTTCATCACAATTCCTGCCCATCCCTGGAGGTTCACTTTCTCATAGTCTCCTGTGCCCCTAGTTCCTTCATATGTACCTGCCAACTGTTTCTGCTGAAGTTAACCTGGACTTGAAACTACATCCCATCCCCAGGTCCCACTAATAATTTGTGCTCAGCCAGCAATTCAGGTCTACTGATGAATTGTGGGTATTTAGGGGGGAAGCTCGTGGCAGACTGGGTCTCTCAGTCTACCTCTCTTTTCTCCCCAACCCTATTCCAGTCCAGGCCCACAACTTCAGGGAGAACTCTTTGTTAGGCAGAGCAGTTCAGTTCTCTTCAGCCACTATGCTCAAATTTGCATACCTCAATGCATCCAGGAGCTCAGCAGAAAAGGGTTTTCCGTTTAACAAGATCTACCCTCAGAAGGTGCTTGTGGTTCTGGATTCTAAAGTCTTGCTGTCCTTGTATGCCAGTCTTCTGGCTATGGACTAGCCTCTGGGCTTCAGGCTTTTTCTCTGTAAAATGAGGGGAGAGGATGGATCAAAGCTTTATATCTTTTGTGGATCTCACCATAATGGGCCACGGGATCATGGGAGCATTCTCCCTCTCTGTATGCAGGTCTAAGAACAAAAGGTCTCAAGTAAAAAGGCCTTTTGGCATCACATAGGCTCTAGCCATAGCTTCTTAATGTTCATCTCCCGTATCTTCCCCAATCCCACCCATCACTATCAATCCAGCCACCCACACCCAAGAAATTTTAAGTAGGAGCATCATCTTCCAATGTTATTGGTTAGGAAAAAAAACCAAGCTATTTGAAGTCTGTTCCAGATTTGCTGACAAAACACTTTTTAAAATAACAAAAATGTGAATTCCATATTGCAAATGGATAGATCACTAATTCAACCAATTTACTAGTTACTATGCTGTCAGGGTAGGCACAACTTAACCTCTAGAACAAAATTGTTAGATCCAAGTTAGTTTTTTTTTTTTGTGAGGAAGATCAGCCCTGAGCTAACATCTATTGCCAATCCTCTCCAATCCTCCTCCTTTTTTTCCCCCAAAGCCCCAGTAGATAGTTGTATGTCATAGTTGCACATCCTTCTAGTTGCTGTATGTGGGACGCGGCCTCAGCATGGCCAGAGAAGCGGTACGTCGGTGCGCACCTGGGATCCAAACCCAGGCCACCAGCAGCAGAGCACACGCACTTAACCGCTAAGCCACGGGGCCAGCCCCCAAGTTAGTTTTAATATGAACTTTTGAGTGATAGGGCTATTAGTAGTTCAATAAGCCAATAATATTTAATATTTAAGTGTTCATTCCAGTCCTTTTCCTATGCACAGGGCCCTGCAATGTGTTCTAATTATAAAGAAGAAGGCTCTGTAAGGGATGTCGGGAGATTATGGGATGCATTGCTGAGTCTACTCTGATTTGGGCAAAGCAGTTAGCCTCTCTGGTCTCAGGTTCTTTATTTGAAAAATTATGATATTAACAGTTACCCTCAAACACCTAAAAAGGAAATTTGAGAGAGAAATGCAATGATATATGGAAGTGCCTGCTGCTTTTAAAAGAAAAAGTGGCATAATTGTTCTGTTAATAATTAATATATCAGAGTAATTTGGATGTTTAATTTGATAGGAAAGCTATTTTCTGTCTTCCATTGAAAATTATCTCAAATACTAGTAATTTAGACTAAAGGGAAAGATTCTGGAAACACAGAGTTTTTATGAGTGTTTCTGATGTTGGTAATGTCTATACCCCAGAGATCTTATTTTCCTTTCAGCAGTGCACTTAACAATTCCAGTGGAGTGTCCAGAGAAAAAATATTTTCCTATTTTTAGTGGGGAAAACACAATCATGTGAAAAAGCATTAAGTCCCAACAGATATCTAGATTCCCAAACCATATTCAAATTATTTCTAATAAGAAATTAGAAGTTCGGGAAAGAGAAGACGGAGATTTAAGGCAGGTAAAGAAGATCTGCCTGTGGCCACTATTGACATTACATCCTCAAGTGGTTCAAGGAGGGAAAGAGGAGTTGAAAATACCTAAGGGATGTTGCCGAGAATGTTTTTCCCCTCAGCATCTGTCTTGCAACTAACTACATTGCTATTGTCCAAAGGGATTTTAACTATAAGAACCAAGAAAACCTCTGGCCACTGGCTCTTGTATTTGTTAACATGTGATAGTAGCATTTAGTGAAAAATGACCCTTTAGGGTATAAATACTAAAAAATTTCACCTCTGATTTGACTCATAAATTTATTGGTTCCCTGATTATGACTAAATCTCTGACCCAAAGAATGCTTATTTTTGTCCTATTTCTGTTTACTTAGATAGAAATGAATGGACTACAGTCAAAATATATTAGTAGTAAAGCTAAATGTCTTATTAAAACTTGCCTTGGGCGGGCCCCGTGGCTTAGCGGTTAAGTGCGCACGCTCCGCTGCTGGCGGCCTGGGGTTCGATCCTGGGCGCTCACCGACGCACAGCTTCCCCGGCCATGCTGAGGCTGCGTCCCACATCCCACATACAGCAACTAGAAGGATGTGCAGCTATGACGTACAACTATCTACTGTGACTTTGGGGGGGAAAAAAATAAAAAAAATAAAACTTGCCTTAAAGAATAGTGTGGTTTTCTGTAAACTGGAGTATTTACTAAGAATGCATTATTTAAATTTCTTTTTATTGTGGTAAAATATACATACCAAAAAATTTGCCATTTTAACCATTTTTAAGTGTGTAATTCAGTGGCATTAATGACATTCACAATGTTATGTTTCTGTTTCCCGAACATTTTCATCACCCCAAACAGAAACTCTGTACTCATTAAGTGATGACTTCCATTCCTTCTTTCTCTGGTAACCTCTACTCTACTCTTTGACTCTACAAATTTATCTATTTTAGGTACCTTGTATAAATGGAATCACATAATATTTGTCCTTTTGTGTCTGGCTTATTTCACTTAGCATATAATATTTTCAAGCTTCATCCATCTTGTAGCATGAACTTCATTCCTTTTTATGATTGACTAATATTCCATTGTATGGATACACCACATTTTATTTATCCATGCATCCATCCATGGGCACTTGGATTGTCTCCACTTTTCAGCTATTGTGAATAAAGCTACAATGAACATTGGCAAACAAGTATCTGCTTGAGTACCTGTTTTCAATTCTTTTAAATATATACCTAGGAATGGAATTCAGTCATATGGCATTTCTATGCTTAACCTTTTGAGAAAACACCAAAATGTTTTTCACAGCCGCTGCATCATATTGTATTCCCACCAGCAATGTACAAGTGTTCCAATTTCTCCACATCCTTGCCAAAACTTGTTATTTTCTGTTTTTTTTTTTTTCATTGTTGTTGTTGCTATTGT